GAACTCACACTTGAACCTGCCGGGACCAGACCATCTGTCACACAGGCAACAGGGACCTTCTGCCTCCTCCCTGCGAGAGGGAGCCGAGGCCGCTGGCGCTGCGAGGACACGCGCAGACCCTCGCCTGGCTCCTACCTGCGGTTGGCAATGGCCTGGATGTGCGTGAGCAGGTGCATTTTGAAGGTGTAGCGCTTCTTGAAGGACTTCCCACACTGCAGGCAAAGAGCAGAGCGGCGCTCGCCTCCTGTGCAGCCCACGGGCTACCCGGCCAGCCAGCCTGGGCACCATCCTCTCACCTTGTCACACATGTGCGGCTTCTCCGTGCTGTGCGTTTTCATGTGCTGAGTGAGTCTCTTCTGCATGGGGTAGATCCGGTTGCACACGGGGCACGGGAAGGAGTTCAGCTTCGGGGGCTGCAGGGAGAGCACAAAGACGAGCTCAGCTGGGAGGGGACTCACACCCTCTTGCCCTCCCCATCACCAGCCCTCGTCGCCTTTTCTCTGCTGTCAGTCAGGCACCAAGATGTTGTGGAAGCCCAGGACGCCTCTGAGGAGGAATGCTGCTGAGCTGCAAGCCACCAGGGTACTCAGACTCACCGGATCAGCTCTCTTCTTCCTGAAATAGAAAGGAACCCTCTGTCAACCAAACCCCAATACAACACCAAAACTGACTACTGCAGAAATGGTCAGAGATCAGACACAGCCAGGGCTGCATTCCCAGGCCTGGGGGAGCAACACTGGTGCTGCTGAGGCAAGACAGCCTTTAGGACTGTCCCTTCACTAACCTGTCCCGACTGTGCACTGTGGAGTGTCGGATCACATCCTTCTTGTACACACTGGTGTAGTTACACTCCTCACACTTGTACGGCTTGCTGCCCACGTGGTTGAACATGTGCTCCTGTGAGGTGCAGGCAGGGAGCCATGAGACCTGGGGCTACGAGCCACCCTCCAGGGGACAGCCCACGAACAAGACGGGCAGCAATCACCTTGAGGGAGGACCAGCGGCGGGAGCGGTAGCTGCACTGAAGACACTTGAAGAGCTGCGGGTCGTTGGCCTCGTGTGAGTTGACGTGGAAGCGCAGATCATCGTGCGTGAGAAAGCGCGAGCCGCAGATCCGACACAGATACGGCCTCATCAGGGGCTTGGGCGACTTATAGTAGTATCTGCAGAAACGGAACCGGCGCTCAGAGCTGTGGTGGCAAAGAGGGGCTGGACCGGCTCTGGTCACAGGCCAGACGGCCCAGCGGTGGCTCGGCACGCACCCCTCACCTGCGCCCCATGTACTTGCGGTATTTCTTGCCCAGGAAGCGGCGAGAGGGCCGGCCTCGCCTCCTGGGGAGGACATCTGCCTCCTCGGGGCTGGTGTTGGAGGAAGGATCCTTATTCTCGGAGTCTGACTGGCTAATGCTGGGCTCTGCCAGGCTCTCGCTGGTCCCGTTCTCCAGTCCAGAGGAACTGGCTGCTTCCGAGTTCTGTAGGTCACAGCTCTGCGTGCTTTGGGATGTCACCAAGGGCTCCACCTCCCCTCCTGCTTGACCGCAGCACAGCACGATGGCATCAGACATTGCCGGGGACACCCACGTGCCCTCGTGTTGCTCCCCCTCAGACCCAGCACGTGGCTCTTTACCTTCGGACGCGTCCTGGGGCCTGTCTTCCAGACGCGGAAACTTGCGGGGCCTCCCGGGGCGCCGCCGCGGCCGCTCCTCGCTGGAGGTGGGGACAGTGCGGCTGTACTTGGGCTGCCGCCCGCGGGGCTCGTCCTCTGCTGGGTTATAGTCACTGTCCTCTGGAGGCAACGCACAAAACGTTAGAGAAAAGCAAAAAGACCGGGCTGCACCAGATGTGGGGAGAACAAGCCCTACCTTCAGGGTCATCGATAGCACCAGCATCCATGATGTCGTCATCTTCTTCTTCCTCTGCGGCCTCCTCCTCTGCAGACTTTGGAGCAGGACCTCCTTTCTGCGGATGCTCCTTCTTCAAAGCCAAAGCTGAAGCCACTACCACAGAAAACAGAATGCAATGTCTTTATCAGACTACAATGCACTCTTACTCCTCTTATTTCTCCCACGGAGAGAGCAGCGAGCCCTTCTGCAGCAAGACACTTTCTTCCTCAGTCCTTCCCAGTGGCAGCGCCCCACATACCTGGCTGAAAGTGCCGCTCCTTCATGTGGTTGATTAATGTTTTCTTGGAGACGCTCTTATACTGACACATCTTGCACTTGAACTGCTGCACCACCACCACCTCCATCATCTCCTCCAGGGTCTCCATGTCTGGCTGATCCAGCTCCTCGCCACCATCGGCCTCTCGGGCCTGATCTGCCTGTGCGGGCATCTCCAGGGCTTCGGACTGCTCAGAAGGGTCTGAAGGGCCCGGCTGGTCAAGGCATGTGGAGGTTGGTCCCTCAGCGACGGCTTCAATCGCCAGGCTATTGGCCAGTGCAGAAGTGGCCATCTGGGACACCATGGGGGCACCTGAACACCAGAAAGGGGTCAGCCAAGGAGCACAGCCTCACCTGCACACAAGCCACACGTGCACCCTGAGCTCAGGCTGCACGCACAGGGCACCCCGGGGCACAGGGTATGGAACCAGGGCAAGTTGCACCTGGAGGAGCATCCTCACCATCATCAGGTCCCTGCAAAATGAGGTACTGAGTAGTCTCTGCCCCGCCATCCTGAGCGCTCGTCACAGCGATGCAGCCTGCACGGAGAGGAGAGCAGGAGGGTGGTAGCTGCCAGATGGGGAGGTTTACAGGCACAAGCAGGAGGAGGCTAGAAAGGTTCAGCCCTAGGAATTTAGCCTTTTCACAACTGCTGCACCTCGGCTGGAGGAACCCTGAGGCACATGGGGGGGCAGTGGGGCAGCCCCATGCAGCAGCTCCACGCAAACCCCCCACCACGGAGCCAAGGCATCAGGAAAAGCCCTCTACACCCGTACGAGTGTGCAAACCTCCGACTGCCTCCCAGCCAAATCCTGGTGTGGAGGAGCAGCAGCTCCCCTCCCTGGCTCATGACAGCCTGGCCCTGCAGCACAGGGCTCCAGGGAGCGCAGCCGGCTGGGACAAACTCACTCTGCATGATGTCAGGCCCGATCGTGGACTCAATGATCTTGTCTATAGCGGAACCGAGGTCGGAGGAGGTGGACGCGGTGGAGTCTGACACCATCGTGGCTCCGTCGGTGACGACACTGGAGTGAACCAACACCTGCGGGGACTCGGACACCATGATGGACTGGCTCACTGTGGACACGCTGGAGACCAGGGTGGACTGGGCGATGGAGGAAGAATCCGGCAGGTAAATCCGGGGAATCGCATCTGTGCTGGAGCTGCTCTCGGACACCTCTTCCTAGGGGAAAAAGGAGGCCAGAGGAGCTGGGAGGTGTTTTCGAGGCCAGCCCCTTGGGGGAGCCCGAGCCCGCGGACTCTGCAGGGCTGCGGGAAGGTGTCAGAGCAGAAACGCGGGGGTCACAGCAGGGCTGCGGCCGGGACCGCGGGGACGGGGACGCGGCGGCACGTGAGGCCGCGGCAGC